TTATTTCCCGTAGATGAAGCTTCGCAATAATAGTTTTGTTTTGACCAGGATTATCGCTAGCATCAACTCTTCCCTTTTCGGACAAAGTCCGTTAATATTTTTGGTTTCTAGAGATTTCTTGGCCTTAGGGTTTCCTTTCTTCCCCATAGAAGAAGCTTTCACGATAATGGTTTGTCTTGACTGACCGGGATTATCCCTTAACCCTTCTCTATTTCGACCAAAGTTCGTTAACAGTCCCGCCAACCCTTCTTTTCGGACCCCCTCTATTTCGACCAAAGTTCGTCAATAGTCCCGCCAACCCATCTTGAATGACCCCCTCTATTCGGACCAAAGTTCGTTAACAGTCCCGCCAACCCATCTTTTTGGACCCCCTCTTTTTGGACCGAAGTCGGTTAATGGTTCCACTATTCTAATATAATTGACAATGGGGAGATCAACTCACACAACTCATACACAGGTTTCCCACTAGGTTGGCCCATTTTTTTGGGTCGCAACCACAAAGATGTGTTTCTTTTTGTTTTTGACATCCTTGAGGGACTCCCTTCCTAGAGCAAGCCCATTGAATGTACCCTTGTTCGATAGCTTCATTCTTACTACTCCCCACGCATTGGAAATGGACATTGAACCCAACTACTTTTCTTACAAGTCCTTCCTTTGGACTGTATTGATTATCCTCTTCCTCGGAGAGTATTCACACCCCCTTTTACATCGTTTTTCGTTTTCTCAATTTTCGGAAGCCCTTTTTTCATTTTCTCAATTTCCGGAAGCTCTTTTTTCATTTTCTCAATTTTCGGAAGCCCTTTTTTCATTATCTCAATTTTCGGAAGTCCTTCCATCCCTACTGTCCTCATTTGCTGGGAGTCAGGCCCAAGCGCATCGCCTTCATTTTGTTGGGCTCTTGGCCCGACATCCATTTAGTCATTTGTCATTGTTTCGTTCAGCCTTCAGCGTTGCGCCCCGCTCTCAAGGGTGTAGCTCTTCTAGATCACTAATATCCTCGACTGCCAGCAGTCCGTACTCTTAGCCTTTTGATGGGGGTGCCATTCGTCTTTACACTTTTGAGCCTGTGCGTGGGGGGAGTTCCCTTCGATCCACACACACACACCCCTAATATGTAGGCCGTGCTGACCAGCTCGTTGAAGGCAACAATCCTATGCTTCGTGCGAGTTCTGCCGGACCTACACAAAATGAACAAAATTAAATTGCGAAACACCAAAGAAGACAAAAGAATGAATTAAACGAGCTCTGCTGGTCCTTGTTGACGCCCTGTTGACTTCTCTCTTCTTTTCTTTTTCTTGAAACAATCAGTGCTTGTTTCTGGTTATGAGCACATAACATTACCACCGCGTTGGTCAGACTGGAGGTTGCGTATGCCAGGTGTGCACACAACAGATGTATTCGCCATAGCCTTCCACGAGTTCATCTCTTGTGATTGAGAGATGGGAGATTCTTCCTTTCGCTCTCCAGATATAATCGAGTCTAGACAGTGGACAAAATCATCAGCATATCTTAGTCTTTTGAAACCCGGATCCATTGGATCTGATGAAGATCTCTCTCTCACCCACACACAAACACATAGTTTGTTTCCACACATATACAAAGCCTGATGCGACAATTTGACAAAGTCCTACTTATTTTGTGGAACCGCTGTTTGAGTCCGCAACTATAAGGCCCTGTGCGACCGATCTTATATTCAACCCAATTGAACCTCCACGTGGTCCATGGCACAGTCTTCGGCCACCCAGCAGCACGGACCTGGCCTACCGTAATGAGCTTATCTTGTTCTATCGAGGAGCTTAAGAAGTACTGCATAAGCAAGAGGATTGGACGTGTGACGAAATGGGAATAGCCAACAAAGGGCAACTAGCAAGAGAGTCAATTAGAGAAGCACAAAAGATAAGAGACCACATAGAAACACATACTTGTGACACACCCAGAATCAGCGGAGAGAGAGAGAGAGAGAGAGAGAAGATTACTACTGACAAACACAGAATCACTAGTTCCAACTGAGGCAAGTATGTGCCACGTACACAACCAGCGGGTGTAGGCTGAGTGGTTCAACTGGGACAAGTGTGTGACACATGCGAACGGAGAGTGTATGCTCAATGGTTCCATGCCAACGAGGGGTCCCCACCAGTTCCTTTCCCAGCCAAACAAAAATGGCCGCCGGTTATCACAGAGGACACGGCCAGTGGCTGAGAAAGGTACGGGCAATTTAATGTGTGTACCCTGTTACACAGCACTAAGGCACATGCAAGTATCATGTACGTTCTCTAGGTGAATATATGTGATACAACTGAGGAGCATAAATGCACAATACTTGTTTAAGAGAACGAGCGAGAACAAGGCCTCTGGTATGTTTTCGTGAAGTGCTCAATTCGCTCTTCGTATTCCGTGCAAGAACAAGGGCTATTCTTCCCTGCTTACAGATTGGATCAACGATGCACCTCCTATAGGCTAGTGCTCATTTGGTTTTACACCTTCGTGCAAGACTCGTTAACGAGAGCCGACAGTGTTCCGGACTGAGCCTTGCAACCGGTACCTTGTATATTCACTAGTTGGGGAATAAACCACACACACTGTGTGAGCGATGAAGGGGGACACTCTTTCGTATGACCTTTTGTCTGCACTGCGCCTGTCATTTACAAATATACCTGACCCGTTTCTCCCATGTTTACATTGTATACACCATGCATGAAGGCAGGGTACACTCCGTACAAATGACGTCATCTCCACTACTGCACGTCCGTCCTGCTGCATGCAGCAGTAAAAAAACGGACGCACATCTCAGACACGAGGTGGGATTGAAAAAACACTTCTTTCATGTGATAGCGCCAGCCTGAGGTAATGGCACAACCCTTTCGACTTCCAAGCCCAGAACTACAAATCCTGCCGTCTTTGACGAACTTGCATCCGATTTAGCACACCCAAACGTTCCGGTCATTTGCTGGAGTACTCAAGGGGCTCTAAAACTCTCCACCCCCATCGCACCTCTGAATGGCTTCTGCAAACTCCGAGCACTTGATACAACCCCTGCAACGCTGAAGGTTGGTTCTGTCCCGTTCTGAAAAACGACTTGCAATCGACATCCTTGCATTCGTTACCTAGTTTTCAATCAGGACTCAAAATCAACATCCCTTAGGTGCATTCGTTATCTCGTTTTCGATCAGGACTCGAAATCAACATCCCTTAGGTGCATTCGTTATCTCGTTTTCGATCAGGACTCGAAATCAAAATCCCTACAACCCTGAAGGCAATTAACGCTTACAATTATTCAGGCAATTTCGTTGTCTCGTATTCGACAAGGACTGAAAATCAACCAACGCCAACAATCCTCAAGACAGCTGTCGTATAAAAAAGCGCTGCTCAAGTCACTCGGTACTGCAAATTCATCAGACGTTATTTGAACTTATTCACATCCAAATTACGTGGCTGTGCCAACGCTGTACGCAATTTATTGCACTGAAGAGATCCAGTCAAATCCATCGGGCGAAGCTCAAGGCAACCAATTCTGACAGGTCTTGAGACAGTTGTCAAATCAGTTAGGTAGTGTGTACCTATGGGGATGTTGAACGCGATTTCCGGCACTAGCCAAAGCTGGATAATTTTCCGAAAATACTTCAAACCCAAGGTTTCCTCAAAGGGAATGAGCCACAACCATGTTTTGGCTATAGTGAAAACTAGAGATGATTGGAAAGGCCAATCAAACTCGGAGATAGCTGGTTTTCCGCGAAATCTATCGAGGTAGAACGTGTGATCTTCATTGCAAGAGGTAGAGCACTCGATGGGCTAGGGTGGCCCAAAGCTTGACCAACCCCAAGGAAACTCCTAATACTTGCAACCTCCGGTTGTTTGCAAGGATTCCCGTCCTACAAAAGAAAAAAGAAAAAACATTCCCCACGTCACGAATCCTCCAGACATGAAAAGAGAGAGAGACGGCCGACAATCATTACGGTGCAAACCAAGCCTATCATCCGGTGGCAACGCAACGCATCGCAACCACCATGCTATCACGCACCAGTAGAAGCTTTAAACTGGAAGTCGTCCCGACGTGCGACACGACCTACCGATAGTGGGCACAATAGGGCAATCCAGGGAATCCGCTTCCCTGGAGGCTTTGCGACTTTTATTCCTGCTTTGCAACTTCTAATCCTGCTGGCCGAACTCAGTACTGACAAATGTTGAGATGGGCGAGTGGATGTCTATTTCCACAAAGAACTCCGCGGACGCGGGGATCATCATCCAGGAAGAGATTGGAATGCACACTTGGCCGCCTTTAGACACGGATCTCTCACAAACGCCAGGTAAAATTGTGGCCGCAGTGACCATCCACCCTCACCAGTTTTCCAAGCTCGCAGTGGCCGGAAAAATTGTGGTGTTCCGTCGAAAGGTTCATGCGACGAAAACCGAAATTGGTCGAAGTTTTCGACACAGGAATTCGACGTTCTTTGGTGGAAAGACGTGGAGAAGCGAATGCGCTTCTGCAATGTTGCAACGTTTATCGTTTTGAAGGCCCGAACAATTATACACCGCTCCCCTTTTTGCTACCTCGAGGGTCACAGCCGCAGACGCAGAGTTCATTACAAAGAAAACAGAGCAAAAGAGGACTCATGGGCTCCTTTCGGTCGACCCGTGGAGCATGCACCAGCGAGTCCGCCGCATGAGAAAATCCGACCGGGAAACGTACCCATATTTTAAACGGTACACGGCGTTGGGGACCCGTCAAACGGAAAACTGGGTTACAATTTGAGTTCCGATATGAACTCTAGCACAGACTTCGACACCGTATGTTTCATGAGCACAAGACAACGAAATCACAACATGAATGGGCCCATCAGACACTCCTGCGTTAAGGCATTGGGGACATTTTGTAAATTCAAAACTGACGAATGGAGACACTGTTGCTTTACAAAGACTCTGACCGGGTGCAGGGGTTCGTTTGCCAAAACTGCAGTGACCAGATGCAGGAGTTCGTTTGCCAAAACTGCAGTGGTTCGTTCGTCATAGTAACACCTTCAAGACTTCCACAGGACACAGCACGAAGTGTGTGAACAGACAGCCAATCCCTCCACCCAGCTCTCTCTCTCTCTCTCACTCTCTGTCTCCCTCCCACCTTTCTCCAGAGGGTCGTTGGCCCTGCCAAGAGCATGGTACTAATTACAGGACACAGCGAACCATTAGAAGAGTCCCCTGTCTTTCTCTCTCACACAGCTGGGTGGGTGTATCTCTCCGTTGGAGATTATGATGTGAGGCAAAATCCTTATGCTGAGGACTCCTCATTTTCCTCGAACGCCGCATTCTGCACGTATCATTGATCGCCCAGCGGATGGTTGCTCTACAGAAAAACAGACAAAGGAAAAAAACACACCGCTAGCACTGCTTGACGATAAAGCACTCAGATACACGTAAATCGCCCCCCAAAACACAACCCGAATAGGCACTCGGATACACACCACCCCCAATGACGCGAACCAAATTTGGTACCACTGAGACTCGCTGAATATCTGACGGCCATTGAGGGTACACAGCGTATTGAACAACACTCCACCCACCGCTCCGCTTTTTCATTACGCACATGAACAAGCACTTGTTAACAATTGTTAACACCAAGTTTTACAAAAGCAAAAGCGCGTGAAAATCGAGAAAAAAGAACAGTTCACAACGGAGCGAGCCATCAAACAAATGATTACCACAAACGGTTGGCTCTACAAAATCAAATGCTATCTTTCCCCAAAAACTCCTCTCCCTCTCTCTCCCTCTCTCTCACGTTTTCTGCGCGTGGTTGCCCAAGTGCACGCACAGACGCACACGCACGCATGCGCATGCAAAAACAAAATCAGCTCCACCCAGGTCTGGAAAAAATTGTCACCAACGGCGACGCCTGGCAATTGTCAAAACAATAGGGGAACAAACAAGATGACACAAATACCTGATATTACATAATGCCGATTCCCCACACAGCAGCTGCAGCCACAGATTTTTAAGAGAACCAATAGTTTCGAATAACGGAGAACGAAAACAAAAGAGGCAGAAGACAACAAATGAACCTTCAGACCCGTGCTCAGGTCCAGTAAACGAGGCATGCCCATCTTCCCCCCACAAACGCTCTTGGAAAGACACGCGTGCATCCTTTTTACGAGACAGTCACTCACGGGAGTGCAAAGACAGCGAGGGGTAGGCCGTACAGACTCCTCCGCCGCCAGGCCCCCGTCCATGTTCTACATCCCCAATCCCTCCCCCAGGCCCCCACAAACACCCACCCTTACATGCACACCACCCACGTTTTGACACACCAACTGACATATCCACACTCCTCAGGAGGACCCACCCCTTCCCTTCCACGTAGAAGAGACAAAAAGTGTTATAGCTGCAACCGACTTCAAAACCCACAGTCTTCCGCATTATAAAATGACACCAGAAAGGATGCACTGGGGTAGCCCCCTCCCAGTATCACACACGAGCAAGTCATCTGTCCTCCATTTTCGCTCTCTTCCCCATCCAACTTCCCCTTCCGCATTCCAGCACTGTAACGAGACACCCCGACGGCAAACACCTGCGCGCAATCAGTTGCCCCCGTTACGCATTCGCCATCAGCACTCCACTCTGCTGCTGTGCTCCATCCATGCGAGGAGGTGCAAAAGATCTACCTCTTCCTCTTCCCCTCCCACCTCGCCCACCACCACGAGCCCGTCCTGCACAACCATTCGGCACACAAACAACATAACACTCCATCAGAAAGCGGTCTGTACATGTATCAAATGCATTATCATCAAATGCATTATCCAAATGAGCCTAAGAGCCGCTATCATACCGACCAAAATTCGGTGCTCTTAAACATTGACCAAATTCATTACCCAAGCGGTCTCTTAAACATCGACCAAACCACGTCTGTTGACCAAATCAACGCCCTCGCACACGATGGGAAATCTCCACCCTCTTACACCGCTCCAATTGGGGTTAAGCATTTCAGTACCGATGTTCAGCTGTTGAAAAGTTCCCACTGCGAGATGCTCATTGCAGCTAATAAAAATTTACAACTAAAACTGCTCATTGGAATTTTGTTAGGGGAACCCAGCCACCTCTTAAAACTTATTAACTACCATTTCTCTTAAAACTTATTAACTACCATTTCTCTTAAAACTTATTAACTACCATTTCTCTGTGGAAATCTGCATTTCGTTAGGCCTCGCATACCCACCACACAAATTGGCTCTAGAGTCTATACACCACCCAGACAAAGTGACATGCATCTACTCTGCCAGCAATTCCTACGTCGCTCCAATTACGTGTGACAAATTGACATGCATCTACTCTGCCAGCAATTCCCACGTCGTTCCAATTACATGTGATAAATCATAGTCGCAATTCAACCAAGCATGAACGTCTCCCGAACTATACGCAATACATAAGCACACGTCTTCGTGAACACAAGTTACACGGTAGAAAATGCGAATCATAAAGTAATAGCAAGACTTCATCATCGTATAGCAACGCACTTACCCCTGCCTCTGCCTCGCCCGACGTTCTCGTTTTGAGCCCCAACTGCATGCTCCTGGTACGTTGTACCATCAATGTGACCCTCCACATGGACCTGCTGTCCCGGTTGTTGACCTTGTTCACCTGCTCCGATACCTCTGCCTCGGCCTCTCATACCCCTGCCTCGGCCTCTACTGCGGCCTCGGCCCCGCCCTCTCCCACCCCATGAATCCGGATGCCCAAAATCATTTCCTCCTGCTCCATCCTCCCCCGCAACTGCCATTTCAAACAATTCAATTTTGTCAGCGTCATATCAGCAAAAACAGTGAATCTTTCAAGGGATATCCACGTCGTCCCCAGACCGAAGTCACACATGTTTCCAAAGTCCAATTCACATTATCATGATACCAAACAATTTACCATTGCAACAGCATCATATCAGTAAAAACAGTAAATGCTTCAACGGATATCAACGTCCCAAGACCAGAATCACATGCACGTGTTTCGCAAGTCCAATTCACATGATCACGAACCACAGGCCTTCCATCAGAAGAGAACAGACAATGATCAACCAGGCCACACGGCGGTCCCCTAGTACTGAGTCCTGTTCCCAGTGCCAATTTCATTGTCGACAAAGTCCTATTAGCAGAGCCAACACTTCATTGTCCGCAAGTCAGTGTTGGCAGAGGGAATTTCATTGTCGATAGCGCAACATTTGCAAGCAGCAACACGGTCCTACTCGCCCGCTCTCGAAATGCCAGCACCACTTGATATCAACCACTGCATCTGCAGCGAATAGTTACAAGACGGCTACACGGAAAGCATATACGATTCCATGAACACCATAACATTCCACTCTCCACAAATTAATAGAATGCTGCGACAGAAGAGCACGACTTCAAAATATGGAGGGCTTTGCCTCGCCGCCGGACCCCCTCGGGGTCGGGGGGTGGCAGCCACCCCTACACCCAGGTGGCACCCCCAAATCAACAGAAAAAAACCCAAAAAAAAACAAAAAAAGCCAAACTGCTAAAAACCAACAAAAGAATCAAGAACAAAAATCAACTAGCCCCAGGTGCGCAGCAATGACTTCATCCTGGCCCCCAGGGATGCGTTCTAGGTGGCACATATGTCCCCGGGGTTAGGTGTGAGGGGTGTGGTGCAGCGGCGCTTGGGTGGCTTCATCCAGAGATGGGCCAATTTACAGATCAGTGAAACCACCACTACCACACGTTGCTCATCACACAGTAGCCGGTTACGGCAGCTGACATCCTCTTTTGCGATTAATTTCATGCATGACCATCTATTTAATGACAAATGCAAGTCACCAGCCCATGCGGTGCACGCAATGCCCAAAATACAGACCGGAGAAACCACCACTGGCATGCGTCGCTCATCACATTCAGTAGCCAGCAAACACAACCGGTGAGAGTCCACAGAACTTGCCATGAGCTTGACACTTACATTTGCCCCCTCCACGACCACGACCACCTCTTCCGCGGCCCCAACCCCTTCCTCTTCCCCGTGGAGAACCTATACGGACAGCACAAATAAGCATATTAGCAATCAAGGGGATAATTCTACGGAATATATGAACAGCACAAATAATCACATTAGCAATCAAGGGCATCATTGAATGGAAAAGGTTGACTCGCTATATAACGCTGCATTCACCACCGCAATAGGGACGACAAATTCAGCAGCACATTTTGCGGCATATCCATCCATACTCAAAAGGCACCCGTTCAACGCAGTTCGACAAGGAGCTGACCTCGATTATGACTGCCGCGATTCGCATCAATACGCTGCATTCATGACGAAGAGCTGTGCGGACTGAGTTCCAAGTTTTGCAGAATACACAAGCTTCCATGCAGGTTTAAACAAAAACTCACGCCTACGCTGCCCTCGACCAATATTCAAGTAACAATTAACCTGCACTACAAATGCCTGACTTCTACTGGTAGACTTTCTTTTTTATTGTTCAAACAATGTGGTAAAGCCCCCCCTTCCCCCCCCCCCCCCCCCTCCCTCTTTAGTGTACATATCGTGGTACGATTAGGGTATCAATGGGAGACGACAAAAGAGGAGTTTCTTCTACCACCGATCCGGTGTACAATACAATTTCATCTGCGTTACACAGGACCAATTCTTAGTGTTACACTTCATAGATTGTTCACTCGACATGTGCTGCACTCCCTCCGCATTGTGGTCGTAGTGGGTTATCCGTACCGTAGGCTGAGCGAGAGGTCTTTCCGTACATCAATCTACCTGTCCGCTTTAGAAAGCGGATCCATTTCCGAATGCCCCTGCCTCAAGTCAGAGCGCAATTCTGATACCTGTCCGCTTTAGAAAGCGGATCCATTTCCGAATGCACCTGCCTCAAGTCAGAGCGCAATTCTGATACAGAGGCAATATTGAATATTCACGATCAAACATTTCCAACGAACTTACAGACGCAAATCTCGGAAAGATTGGCCAATTAGAGTCTGCAGTGGTGATTGAGCCAGCTGAATCACTTCTTATAATAAAAAAACTCGCACAATTTTTTGAGAGCGTGTAACGCAAAATATCGATAGGAATTCGTAAAGAATCATTTAGCAAATCACGTGTTGAGCCGGATACATTGGAATAAAGGGGCAGAGCCTCCAACAAAAAATTGGGAGTCGTTCTTCGCGTGGAGAGAGATTACCTCCCTCGTAGTCGATTTCCGCCAATGGCTTCACTTGATCTGGTGGCAGTGGAGGTTGATACCTGTATGCCCACAAAAAACAGTCGCGTGAGGGTCGTTCGCCCTTGTAGTGGCAAGAACAAACACTAAAATCCAGACATTACTGAAACAGTCTTTCCAGCAGACACGTACAATTCACGCCGTTGAGACATCACTTTTCACATTGCGCTGTCACCGGCGACCGTACACGAAAATTCTACAAGTGAAATCAACGTATGCCCAGGCGTCAATTTTGCCGACTTTCAGAAAGGACCAAACGACTGTGTTCCTCCACAATGAGAACAAGCACAGCTTCAATCCTCTGTCGCCCCAAGAAGGTGACACCTCATTTTCACTTTCACGCCCCATTTCAAGTCACAATTTCGCCACAAGATAAACGCTCCGAACCATTAACCGAGACAACGAGAGCAATTCACAATAGCCATACCATCCACTCGGTACTACAACAAGCGACAGCACCTCGACACTACAACGCCAACACAAACTTGGTGAGCCACCGCGTCCTCCACATATTCCATACTTTCCGGCTCCATACTCTTATCAACATGGTCCAATCCAGAAGTGCATATGCACACAACTGACACTCAAACTCTCATATAGCCGATAAACACGCACCCGGTAGATGTCTTGTCCAGCTCCTTCGTTGACAGTATGATCGTCGTCATCGACACATGACGCGTGGTCTCCAACCTGCCAGCAGCGAATCGCAAAGGATGAAACAAATCGAGCGGCAATCTCGAGTTAGTTCACCACGTGCACAATGCAATCATGAAGAACGTGCATTCCACGTAAGACCAACGGCGATCCACCAGCCCAACATGTACTCAAAACACGCTAGAATGTTCACCTGTGCAAGATAAGAACGACAATGAACCATCAGTGGACACGTGCTCCAATATAGGAAAGAATTATCACCTGTTAAGGCCTTCTTCCAAGGGCTCCCACAGATCTGTGATATCAGTCGAACCAATTGTCGTGATCTGGTGAAGACCAGCTACACGGCGCTGCATAAGTGCACAAAAACCAATTACAGCAGGGAACCCAAGTGAACGTCAGGAAACCATACACATACAAGCTTTCCCATTATCAAACCAGGCGCTGGGGCTTTCCATTATCGAACAAGGCCTTAGAAGCTGTAACAATTATTGCGTCGTCGGATTCCACTATGGTGTCCCAACTTCAGCCAACCCCATAAATCCGTCCATCCCTTCTCAGCGTTTTTCACGAAAACCGTCTGTACAACCTGCCTGCAACATATCTCACACCTTCACCCCGACTTCAAAAAAACAGCCATCGCGCCTTTCAGGATTAATCATTGACTCTGCCAGTAAAGAGACTCGTTGAGCTAAAACCATGCATTACACGATCACAGCAGAGCAAAACACACCCAACATGGGAAGTGACACTCACAACAACTTCCTCATCACTAAGAATTCCACGCTACACACAGCATGCACTCGCGAACCACCGGGATGACTTTTATTATTAGAGCTCTACATGGCGGACAACAGTAGTCGAACACCTCCACACTTCATGAAGTGTGAGACTACGAGGCGGGTCAAGGACTACAATACACGCGGGCGGCGAATGAAAGATGCGGTTCTCAGCTGAACAGTGTCAAATAACACGCGTCAGTAAGAATACTAACAGGTGCGTCACGGCTCATTACACAACAACAACTACTTGCCGTTGAGACCTTATGGTCCATAAGATATCTGTAGCACCGCACAATCCTTGCTTCCAAAACACTACGCCCACGCTATTTCCCAATCCTTTCGTGCCCTCACCGCTCTTGTGCGACGTTATCCTCTGAAACTTCGTTACCATGGCCATTTGGTAGAACCGTATCACTCACTTTCTTTAACATCGCCACCAGAAAAGGCATATAATCAGCAACATCCATTAGTTGTTGGGCTCCTACAAAAATACACATGATGGTAGCCCGACAGATGACGGAAGAACTTCAATCAAAATTTCCTACAAGACATCATGCTCCCCGCCGTCCTCACCACATTTCCCCCGCCCCTACCCGACCCCCCCCCCCCCCGCCCCGCAGGTAGGAATCGGCGCATTGATAAGGTTTTCCTCACGAGGCACAGAAGCAATGCATCGAAGGCAGAGATATGAAACTGGCGAGACCCTAGCCACTGGACTGGGCTGTACAAAGAGGCAAATAAGCGATCTCACTGGACTGGGCAGAGATATGAAACTGGCGAAGCCCTAGCCACTGGACTGGGCTGTACCAGATGACAAAACAATCAAAACACATTCAGACGAATCTCCATGGATCCGCTACTTATTCCCATGTTGTGTCGCACATACGACAATGGTTCACCGTAGCGAACGCGGAAAACTGAAAGTACACCCGCGATATGATCCCCGCGACATGATATAATGTTGTCAGAGCTGTTCCCGTCGGAACGATAACATCTACCGGCCCGAGAACTGATACAGACTCGAACAGGCCTCACCTTGATGATTTCCGCAATCGTCACAGTCTTGTTGATGGCCCTGCCCATCGCTTTCAGAACGATTTCCGTTGCCCCTTTTTCCTGCACAGCACAGCACCAAAGAAATGACATGTGACGTAAACGTCCCACAAAACATCCGAGGAACGAAACAACAGAAAACCATAGATGCAGCACAATCCCATGAAATATTGTAAAGATGCTCACCGTAAGCCATTTCACAGACAAGAGCGTGTTGGTGTCCCATAGACGTCCAAGCTGCACTCAAAAGGTATGCACGGTATTCCTCTACATAAATCGTTCTCGTTCTCCTCGAACATACTAAGACCATCATCGACAGCAATTACCTATCACCAAAAAAAGGCGACAGAGTACACACAACGCAGGAGCAGTACAAACCACTCCCCTTCACTAGTTCCCACAACGAGTGCGCACTCAATCCAAATACATGAGAAGACTATTTGAGATCCCCTAGCCCAAAAACTCACCTCAATGTACCAATAAGGCTCTCCGTCATCACGAACTACTAGCTGATCATCCCATTACAAAGACTCGTCAATAGAAACGTAATAGAGCAAAACCGCCCACACATCACAACGAGCTTACTGACTATAATGCCCTCTTTCGAGTAAATAGGAGCATAAGATTACTCTTCCGAGTGAATAGGAGCATAAGATTATCGCGTTCCCGGGTAAATCGGTGCAATCGGTGCGAATCCTGAAAGGACTACCCAAATGTAGGCTATCTGACGACAGGCAAAGACCAACATTGCTGTGGACATCATACACAACGAACTGGCACAAGGACAATCGCTTTGATAAGCACCATCGAAATAGCGGGTGTACAGTTAACATTGAAAGCAGAAGGACCGTCGAAATTGGTAATTCACAACACTACGCAACATGCGATAGGACGCGAAAAGTCACGGCGAGCACGTACATCATTGGAAACTCCAGCCGTCGGCGATTTGCTGGGTTATGGACGGGCGCCATATGCATTGGGTGCAACAAAGCCATGAAACGGAAGGGCGCCGACACGGAAGGGCGCCGCCTGTATGCGGTATAAACCACCGCATTCGGGGCGACGGCAACAATGCGCCAACATCGCGACAACCGCATTCGGGCCGACAGCGACATTGCTGTGGATGAAGGCAGCGCGTGAAGAGACGACTGCAAACGTGGTCCCGTACGCATAAGGAACCTCGATAATTAATGCATTGAGAGCATGCATGCAGATAAGGGTCAACTTCGTCATGTGAGGCGGCAGAATTGCGTACCACGGTGACTACGAGAACACCACGTCGTAATAAACGACAACCATACGAGGGGTGAGACGTGTAGTGGACGACTTCTAAATGAAGGGGGCTGACAGACGCTTGAGCACCAGAATGACACTGCCAACACATGCTGACACCCAGCCTAGATGGGGCACGAGACGACGGTCAACATAGCAGAGAGATGCGGACATTGAAGAGCGAAAGCGACTGTAGCGACGACTGGAGAAACCACGAGGCAATTAATGAACCGTCGAGAAACAAACGCGAGGACGTGACGTCGGCACCCAACAGACTGCTAATTAGAAGTAGGTGGGCGAAAAAAAACAAAAAAGAGGGAGGAACAAGCGAAGACGGCCAGAGTAAAAAGAGCAATATCTGGCAGAGAAGCCCATAGAGAGAGCGGAGGGAAACAGGACAAATGGCAAAGGAGCAGGAAAGCCGAGCTGTAGGGAGAGGCCAAACACACAGGGCGAAAGGCGGCGGAAGGGAGAGACCAAACACAGAAGGCGACAGAGCGGAATAAGCAAAAAAGGCCGTAGTAAGAGCACAAGAGTGAGAAATCAAGGAGGGCAGCAGGGATGGAGCGAAAGAAGAAGCAGGTGAGGACGAAGTCACGAAAAGGAAAGGAATCACTGGATACGATATGCAGTGATTATCTGAAGGAGATGGGATCACGTGAAGGTACAATAACAATCACTTGAAAGACAAGCGGAGAGGGGATACAAAGGACGCGCGAGAGAGATGGCATGACGAAACAAGCAAAGAAGCGGAGGGGAAGCGAGAACGAGGGGTAAACGCAGCTCCAGAGTAGCTGGGATGACTCGTGCAGAGGAGCAGGTCGAAGGGAAGGTGCTGGCAGACCGAGTGAAGCTCATGGATTGCCTCGAAGTGAGCATGGGGTGAATTTAAGGGAGTACAAGAGGGGACGGCATGGGCAAGCTCGACGCGGTGAGGAAGGAGCCATAAAGACGAGCGACAGAAAGGGGGCAAGCGGCGTGCGGCACAGACTATGTGGGTAAAACTGAAAGGGTGAGCGTCCTTGAAGAGGTGGACAGCAATGAAAAACGTCGAGGTGCGGAGAGAGCGAAGGAAACCGGGCAAAGAAGAGACCATTTATGATGGACCTCGAAATGGAAAATGGCAAGAAGTGTGACCGGAGCGGAAAAACCACCGAGACAAGGGTGGCGAGACGACAGCCCATCAGGTAACACGACGACGAGATGAAGTGGAATAGAGGGACAATGCCAGGGCAAGAAAAGAACTAGACACATCACAGGGGAAGGAAACGGAAGAAAAGAATGGAACGCAGGACAATGGCGGAGGAAGGCCGACAGTGATGGGCAGGGAAGTTAAAAATAAAGGAAAGGGCGACCGACAGTGAAGGAGAGAGGGAAACAGTAAAAGAGGAGGAAGCAACGATAAAGGAGGGAAGGGCAACAGCAAAGGGAAGGTAGGGCGACAGTACGAAAAAAAAGCCCAAGGGCGGAAGGTACGGCACTTGTGAGGAGTGGACAGACAAGGAAAGGGGGGACAGAGAAGTGGCGGCAAAAGAAAGGAAAGCGAAGAAGTAAAAGACCAAGAGAGAAGTATTGTCGCAGGACGACAGAGGAAGGAAGAAGAACCAGGAGGACGGGAATTGAGAACGACGGCACGAAACCGCGAGAGAGGACGACGGAAGGGAAACAAAGAAGGGTAGCAATGGCTATGTATCACAGGGAAGAGAATGTCAGGGGACCCTTGACCAGCAAGGACAGCAGGACAGGGAAGGGGGAACGGCGGGACTCCATATGCGGACGAAGAACGGCAGGGGAGGGAAGGAGGGAGGACGGCAGAGAATAGGAGGGGAGGGCTGACGGCAGGGAAAAGAGGGAAGACGACAGGAGGGGTGAGTAAGGCAAGGGAAGGGAGAGGAACAGCAGGGCGGCAGAGCGGGAAGAATACGTGCGGGACAGCTGGGCGGGAAGAGGACGGCAGGGATGAAGGGCAGAGTACACAGGCAGCGTATTACAAAAGATTACGCATGTAAAAATGAATTGAAGGTCGATTCCCTAAAAGGATGCTTCCACTCCACCGAGCGTACCCCGACAACTTATCGATATTGATCCTGTGCACAAGATAATGGCATAGACCGCGTTCCGAGATTGAGCCCGACAACGAGGTACAACCTCAAAAGACAACACGTCAAGACAGCCCCCGACGAGGTGGCATCGAAAGCACTGCTACAAAGAATGTCGTTCATTTACATTCGCATGAAAACAAATGTCCCCTTGCAAAACAAAGATCCGCGCTGTGTTTGCATGCGCGCTGTGAGCAGCAAGAGGTAAATCAAACAACAGACGAGCTCGCGGACGCGATACTATCGACTCGAGCAACGGACAAACCTGCGCCACAACGAGAGTATGCCCAAGTTTCAGACAACAATAATGGGAAACTTTTGAAGAAACCAAACAAATGAAAAGACGGAGACGAAAGGAAACCCCGCACGTGTAGGTCAACTCGAAACTAAACGGACCATTGCCACTCGAAGTCAATCGGCAGCGAAAGTAACACGAAGAATGATGACAAGAACCCAATTCGGCAGCCGTAAAAATCAATAGATACCACAAAACAACAATTCAGTTGTGGAATCCAACTCCACACAGAGATCGAACTGTCAGGAATTGAACCCATGCCGAGAGAACAAGGCCCGCCCAATTTCGTAAGAACATAACACCAAGCACCCCCAACAACCGTACGACGGGCATGAGGCCCAAAGGCTTCCACTCGTGACTTCAAGACAACCTCCTGATATATCTTCACGCTCTTCAGGACCGAGCACGTGAGCTGACAGATAGTACCCACACTCAAAGAAAATCACGATGTACACGGCAGACACGCGAGATAATATCTCATCCAGGGAGCCACAAATGATTAAGACACGTACTCACAAGTTTGGGAGAGCCGCACTGTGCACAACCGGCCGCACAACACATCCTCTAACGAACAATCATCATAAAGATAACAACTAAGATCTAGTACAGATAACTAGGATCGACAAGGAGAAGAGTTATGTCCCGGCCGATCATCGACCTGCTCCTACCACGAGCCAGGAACTGCATGACACGGTAGCAATCAACATTTCCTGTCACTGGAATACAGCCCAAACAAAAGGGGGATTACCAATTCCCGCGCATCTGTACAGAACGCGACACCCACACTGCACTACGGAAATTCATCGAAAGAACATCAGGTCCCTCCTTGATTGCAAGACTAAATATACAGTGCGTAAAAGGTCTTCATCGACAACACACGACCTGAACAAACCTACTCTGAAGCGGCAACCCATACCTGCACCTTTCTCTCTACAGTCCATTCCTTCATCTATCAGCCTCATTTACAGCATGTCCACGTTACAGGGGCACCATGGAAACCCTGCAAAATATCGTTCGACCACACTCCTCCAAGTTCCCTAATACACGACCGCAAAGCCGAGATCAACATCCCTTACTCCAGCCAGCTTTTGACACCCAAATCGATGCAAAAGATAAGACACCGCGTTGCACATGGACCTCAAAAAAGAATGCATCACTTCCGCCCACGACCCCATCCGTTTCCGAGGACGGGTTCTTCCTTACAACATGTGGAGGCCCTGTCTAGGCCCCTCAAATTTCACCCAGCTATTTCTACCTGGCACAGACATCCAGCGCCCCCCTGCTGCACCCGATCACGAAGGGTAGAAGCCGGAAAACGGATAGGTCGCCCGCTTTCGAACGCCGACTCGGAGCCCCTCGCCCCGCATAATACCAACCCTTTTCAATTACTCACCACAAGATATGCAAAAACCTAAAAACAAGAGCTCGACCAAATCCACCAGCATCTCCTAGCAAGACCGCCGTGACACACCACCATGATTAGCAAAGGGAAATAAATACTCGGTGCATTGCAGTACAGCAATTGAGCGACACTAAGACATGAGAATGCAGAAAGGATGGCGTGGAACCTCGTTTGCATTCGTAACGGACGACCATGCACGTGCCAACAATCAAGCCGAAACTGGACAAGATGTTGCAGCACTACACATACAATTGAAAAAACCTGTACAATTTAAGGGGGGCAAAGAGAACAGGTGCAGGCACAGGGAAGGCATGAAGGATTGAAAGACCTGTAGGAGTGTCGTCGCGTACGTGATGTAGTTCCGCATCTTCCCTTGCGTCGTTATCCGAATTTCATTTTCGCTGATTGGCGTCTCAGGACGGGGTTTTTCAACCCTCTGATAGCGATCCATTTTGATATCCGTCGAACAGCTCCCGCTTCAGACCTGCGCAATTCACATAGCCCGCAAATGTCAGTCAGGACACCCGCCCTCATATCTCTTCTCCATCAACCAGTTCCGTACACTTTTCCCGCGCATCGTGTCCAATTGCTTCCGCCGAGTTTCACCATGCTCGGTCGTGTTCCCACTCCCTCTCTTCCCGTTTACCACTCCCTCATGACTAATCGCTCGATGGCGCCATCTAAGATCCTTTGACTTTAAGCACCCACACAGCTCACGTCACCTCCTTCCGCGACTGATCAATAATAGAAAACGCGCGGCTCATGCGGATAAGGACACAAAAGCAAGGTGGGTGCACACATCGAAGAGAGTAGACAGAAACGCACCCGTGAGCACTTCACTAACTCGTGGCCTCCGCCTTACTCCCTCGTCCCTCCCTCGTCCCTCTCTCTCTCTCTCTCTCTCTCTCTCTCTCTCTCTCTCTCTCTCTCTCTCTCTCTCTCTCTCTCTCTCTGTGTGTGAGTGTTTACGTATACTTCAGCTCCGTCAACGACCCGAATACTTGTCATCAGATGCGCACAACATTCAAGAACGCACATACAGACAGAAGAACGTAAGGGCAATCGCGCAAACGTGAACGCACACTACAAAATCCCAAATACCCGCACCAAACATGAAGTGGGAAAGCCAATCAATCAATCAACCAATCACCGAATCAATCAGGCAAGCAAGCGATCAATGAAAAATCAAACCCCCAGAAATTTAAAGACCTAAATCAGAGAACAAGAAAACGAACCGCTGATTAAAGAAACGGAAAGAAGGCGTACAATAGACACAAAAATAAGGCGAAAGGAGCCAAACAAGCTAACAGCCAGAAACATCGCCACCCATTTTCGCCTTACCCCACTAGCTCACGTTGGCTTACGTTCCATCCAAACCTTAGCAGAGTACGTACCTCACTCCCACTGCCTGAATTCTCGATCAGTCGGCTTGGCCCGACCACTTCCAGCGACGAGGTGACGTTCCCCTCCACCCTCCTTTCCCTCCCAACTCTGATCAGCGCACGCACACCCGACTCCCTCCGCTCCTCTTCCCGGCTCAACCTGGCTCTCCCCGAGGCGGCGGCTCGAGATCGATCAATTCTTTTCTATTCCGCCGCGCTCTCTACGATCCCTCGGGTTTTCATTCCCTTCACTCCGCTGCAGCACCCCCTACCACACCGGCTGCCCAACCCGTCGTCCATGGACTCTCCCTCCTTTCCATGTTCTGCCGCACAATTTCGCTCCCACAGCCTTTTCACCCAACCACGCGCCTCTTGCTAGCCAGCCAGCCAGCCAACCAGCCCGACCAAATTGCCGCGTCCAATTTTGATCTGTCTACCTTTTCCCCCGCCTCCGGCCCGGTAATGCCGCAGGCAGCCTGCCACGGTAACCGAGCCAAAAAGACCTGTTTCCGGCGCTATCAACCAAACCGCGTCCTCGGCCGCATCGCTCCCCGATGGCGGCCCCAGCTACCCCGTCTCTGACCGGAAAGTTAATTTAATTCCTCAACAGACTTTCCGCTCTGCCCAGAAATGCCGCCTGCCATCGACAGGCGACCAAACCCCTCCGCCGACGGCAGCTGGAGTGACCATCAACAGGGCATATTGACCCCAGCCACGTAGTTCAGCCGTAGATCACATGCATCGACGGCAGAAGTCAACTAAGGAAGTTCTTTCCTAGTTTGCTGTGCGCATGCACAAGCAATCCAGCAGGAAGGTTCTGAAAACCTGAGCAGAGCTGTTGAGCAGTTTTGGTTGGACGGAGTCCTATGCATTGCGCCTTCGTGCCATCTTTTGTCTCTCCTCCTTCCTTGAGGAAGAGCTCACACCACATCTCCACTGAGCAAACCTGTCATTACTCAGAGCCACACTACGCCATACACATAGTATATAGGTAGCACATACATAGTGCATACATAGGCTCAACTCTTCTAGGGTGCAGTTGCACCCTTATGGGAAGAATTTGAATGTACTTTTCCCAATTGTCTTGTCTTCCCTCGACGGGATCTCTTTTTTTGTTTTCTTTTCTTTTTTCTATAACAAAGGAATTCAATTTGAATCGAGGGCGGGGATCTCGCAATTCAATGCGGAGTTATCCTGGCAGCATTAGCCAGTTTCACTTATTGGTCTGGCAGAACCAGGACCCAAAAACAGCTTGATACCTCAATGAATTGTCTTTAACTAAATTTCGACATAGCTCAGATAACCTTCAGCAACTCCATCATCTCCTTCCTGAACAAACTTGTCGTAATCTAACCTATACTACCGGCCTAATTTGGCTACCGATTGTGGGACCCGGTACTAACACTCTCCTATCGGACCACTGCGTCCCTACAGAAGCGAGTGCTGTTAGTTAGCACTCTCTAGCCTTCTTTATACTAACCGAGTGCTTTAGTCCCTACCATGTCCTTACTAACCTACCCTCCCAACCTACCTCCCAGTATTGTCTAATTCTATAATCCACCTTGCAAACTCCAAGCCTCTTGAATTGTGTATTGCTGCCACCTGACGATTATTGGCCCATATTCTTAGGAACCAATACAATTGTTATTTGTTTTTTTTGCCTCGTTTTGCTTTCTTGCACCAATCCACCTAAATGGCCCGATCGAACCCTTTTTTTATCAAGCTTGTGGTTTTTTGTTAGACAATAGGGGATTGTGGAATCCGACTCTGTCTCGATCCGTTCATATCACCTCAAAGATCAACCCTCTCACTGTATGTGCAATGTATCACTGACCCTTCTTCCCCTGGTTTTCTGTTGGCAAAAAGCTCAGTAAAACCCGTTGTTCATCCCACTTCACGCCTTCTCCCCCCATCCTCTCTCCGTGGTATTTCCACCACTCCTATATCCACTTGGAGTTCAAACACTCCTACTAGAGTTGGTGTACAGAATCAAACGGCCAGCTACATCTAAAGCATTGGAGTTTCACAACCATTCCTCGACTCCGGAGTCAGACCGCTAATGGGGTCACCATCAGAGACTTCATCCAGAGGATGTCCACTTGCTTTCCGTTTGGGAGGAATTCTGCTTCTTAAACCATATTTTTGACTCTGACAGATCGGTTAAGAAGAAAGTTTGTTATTTGGATGTTGTTATCACGGGCAAAGATTTTTTATTCCGCCCAGTCAGACGGTGGCTATACTGCAACCAGTAATCCAAGAAGGTAACAAGACTGATTCTCCGAGGGAGACCTACAAAGCAAGTTGATGAATAGTTGTTATAACAAGGTTTTACCAATTTATGCAAGTTTCCTCACAAACCTTTTTTTCATGTTTACTCCACCACATGTACATGGGGCAAATTGCTCCAAACTTGTATAATCCCTTCAATAATCAGCTCCAACTCATTTGAGTGTTGCATATACCTTTACCTCTCAATTCTACGAAAATCATTAAGCAAAATATTATTCACTCTTTAGATTACCTCTTACTCGTGCTCCTCATTGGCTAAGTATCAGGTATCCCACCTGGTCCACTCCTTCTGCACCAAGAATAATCAATCACTATTAAGGGATTGCCTTCACTATGCATTGCCAATTTTCCTCGATATTGTGTAGACCTAACTAGAACCCCCTTACCTTTGGCAACGCTTTCCGATTTCTTATAAGTTTGGCTCATAGATCCTTGATCCTGATAACTCCTTTTTGCATCCAAGCCAATCCGAATGTTGTAAATGCATTGTTGATCGGGAAGCAACAACCCTTTGAATCAACAATTTGGGGCGTTTTAAATAAATGTCGATGCAAAACCTCATCTTTCGTTATGGGGGAAGACTGCACATCCAGTGGTAATTCTTTCTACACTTTTCTCACTGAATTCCGACAAGGTGCCTTCAACTTTTTTTTATGAAGGATTTTATGAAAAAGTAAATATACCTCTTGGCGTGCATAAATCTTTTGTTGATATTAAGATACACCCAGTCACTCGTATACATTGTTCTTTTGAGTTTGTGTTGCCGCTTTGTAAATCCACAGCCGCAATTGAGCTTAATTCCTCCATTTTGGATCAATCAGACTCAAACCACCTCGTTCTTGTAAGTGTCTCATGCAATCTTAAACCACTAGTACACCGAAGTCTGTAGGCTCCTTATTGCGCACCAAGCTTCCCTGAACCGTCAGCGGTGCACTCTTTTTCTATTTTGGTTGGCACTGGCAGCCATCGTCGACCGGTAGGCTGAACTTCCTAAATTTTTATAGACTGTGATTTTTTTTTTTAGCAAGGTTGGGGTCGTGTACTGACGGTTTAATAAGAAAGTTTATCACCTATGGTTAACGGACCCCTAAAAATATGTCGAATTGGATAGCGAAGCTTGTTAGCGAATTCGTGATTTTTAAACTCGAATTCGTGTTTTGTGCTACTGAAGACAAAATAACTTTTGTGAATTCATGTTTCAGAAACTCGAAATGTTCATTAACATGATGAACAACTATCTAAAGTGAATTTAGTGTTTCTCGAAGTTATATCCGCTCGTGCATTCAATAATTCATTACCAAAATCGCACTTCGAGATTTTGAGATTTTACTTAGTCATTTTTCGAAGTTATATATGCACGTGCGTTCAAGATTTAGTTACCGAAATCTCACTTAGGATTTAACTTTGTCACTTTATGAAGTTATATCCACACGTGCATTCGAAATTTCATTACCATAATTACACTGTAGGACTTATGAATTTTACTTAACCGTTTTTCGAAGTTGTATTTGCACGTGCGTTTGGGACTATTGTTAAAGTTACATCCGCATATGCGTTTAAGATTTCGTTATTAAAATCGCACTTAGGATTTCAGAATTTTACTTAGTTGTTTCATAAAGTTTTATCCACACATACGTTTGAGATCTTACTAAATCAATTTCTAAAGTTATATTAATAAATGCGATCAGGATTTAATTACCGAAATCCCACTCCAAGATTTAAAAATTTTACTTAGTCATTTCTCAAATTTATATTTCATTATCGAAATCGCACTTTCTGATTACAATATTTTACTTAGTAATTTTTTGAAGTTATATCCGAAAATACGTTTCGGATTTCGTGATCGAACCCACACTTTAGGATTTCGAGATTTTGCTTAACAATTTTTTGAAATTATATTCGAAAGTGCGTTCATGATTTCGTTATTGAAATGCAGGATTTCGTGATTCTTAGTCGTTTTCAAAAGTTATATGCACACATGCGTTCAAGATTTCGTTACCGAATCATAAGTTGAGATTTCCTTATAACATTATATTCGCACGTGCATTCGAGATTTTATTATCGAATCGCACTTTGGGATCTCAAAATTTTACTTAGCTGTTTTTCGAAGTTATATCGCATGTGCGTTCGAGACCTTTGTCGAAGTTATATTTGCATGTTCGTAAAGGATTTCATTACCAAAATCGCACTTCGATAATTTAAGATTTTACTTAATCGTTTCTTAAGTTATATCCGCACGTACATCCGGGATTTCGTTACCGAAACTGCACTTCTAGATTTTGAGAGTTTATTTAACAATTGATTAAAGTTATATTTGAAAGTGCGTTTTGGATTTCGTAACCGAAATCACACTATGAGATCTTATGATTTTATTCAGCTATTTGTTTAGTGTTATATCCACACATGCTTTCAATATCTTATTATCGAAATCGCACTTTGGGATTTATGGATTTTACTGAGTTATTTTTTTTAATTATATTCTCACGTATATTCATGATTTCCTTACCAAAATCTCATATCAGGATTTCAGGATTTTACCTAGTCATTTTTCGATGTTATATCCGCAAGTGCATTTGAGATTTTGTTACAAAAATCGAACTTCATGACTTTCTTATTTCACCTAGTCGCTTCTCGAAGTTATATCAGCACGCTCGTTTCGAAAAAGTATTTATGTAAATAAACATAAAATCTAAGTTTTTATATAACACACTTCAAAAACTTTGTAAAACCCAAACCCCCTGAAATATGTTTCGGTAATGAAACACTGAATCGGATATAGCACACTAGAGACACTAAGTCAAACTCGAAAGTCCTGAAGTGTGTCTCAGTAATGAAACATCGGATCTAGGTTCAAATATAACACACTAGAGACACTAAGTAAAACCCGAAAACTTCGAAGTGTGTTTCGGTAGCGAAACACCGAATCTAGGCTCCGATATAACACACTTGAGACATTAAGTAACACCTTTAAACCACGAAGTCATTTTCGGTAACGAAACACTTAATCTAGGTTTGAATATAACACACTACAGACACTAAGTAA